AATACAAAAAAGTAAGTTCCAAGCACCTGTATTTTCCAGGGGAAATCACTCTGACAAATGGGTAGCAGTAAAGATGGCGAGAAATGAACCGCGAACGAAATGGTGAGTTAACTTTTATTTTTCACGTCTTTCTTACTATATTTAAGGTCAAATATATGTGTGTACTCACTGAATTATAAGTCATATATTTCATTAAAATGGCTTTCATTACCCTTTATCCACTTTAGTTAGCTGGTATAGCTTGACGAGGGCCACTCGATAGCCAGTGAGGTATGAGAAGGAAAAATAGTGTGCATTGTGTGGCTAATATGGACCACTTCCTTTGGGTAATATGGACCTATTACCCATACATGGTCTATATTACCCACCCTCTTTTTGGCACCCTTTAAAGCATAATTTTTGTTTAAATAATCCTGTCAGTGGCCAGTGGAGGTAAGAATAAATGAACCTGTCAGTACCTGCTTTTCACCTTTTCAATAAAATTAATCTTTAGTTTTAATATTCCTCTTTTCAGTGGACAGTGGACACAAGACGAACTGGACCTGGCAATATCTGCTTTCGAAATGGAGACTGCGGCTTGAACAAGGCTACAAATATGTATGGTGTGCCAAAGGCTACCCTAAAATGGTACCTTGATGGGACCAACAAGCACACAAAGGGCACAAAGCAAGTGACTTCCCTTTGTTCAGCATGGCACATTCTCTACTGTGACAACTACTACACTTCTGTGAAACTGTTCACTGTCTTGTCAAGGGATCAGATAAGGGCTGTGGAGACCATTCTCGAAAACCGCAAAAACTTTCCCAAAGCTATCGGCAAAAAGGAAAAGTTGAAAAAAGGTGGCGCACCCTTATCTGCTAGGCATGAAAAAATGCTTCCGTGTCCAGGCAAGACTCCAAACGAGTCAGTATGATCTCAACTGTTCATAGCAACGAAATAGAAATAAAGCAGACTAGAAGCAGGCAGGAACATCTGGATTGAGAACAGTTACCAAACCAGTGTGTGCAGTAGATTACAACAAGTGTATGGGGGGTGTTGACCTCTTTGATCAAATGTCAGCATACTATGCCTACCCCTACAAAAGCTGCAAGTGGTAAAAGGCTTTATTCCATTTCATAATAGAAACAGCCCTAGTGAATGAACATATTTTGTTCAACGCTGCAAATCCTGGTTAAAAAATGACCAAAAAGAGATTCAGGGAGGAAGTCTCTCTGGCTCTGATTGCTGCTCAAACTCGACGTCGATCCCTGGCAAAATGGCAATCAGCGCCTGACCCCTCACCAGCAGCAGAATCACAGATTGGGGCAGCCCATTACCCTTCAAAGTGTGAAGATGAACGTTACAGGCCTGACTGCAAAATGGGCTCAAAAGTGAAGGTCAGGACGCAGACTCGTTTCTGGTGTAAAAAATGTGGAGTTGCTATGTATCCCTGTTTCACGCTATACCATACCAAAGAGAAGTTAGCAAAAGCAAGGCGAGTTGCAGAGAAGAAGGGGGATGTTGCAAGGAAGAAGCCAAGAAAGCAGTAGATAGCAGTTATAAACTTACTTGTAAGTTTACACAAACTGTTAGTCCATTTTTTAAATGTGCTGTTGTGTTCTGAGTTTGCATGCAAAGCGTTTATCTATAACTGGCCTTCCTTTTTCTTTCATACAGACATTCCAATCCAGGAAACACCCCAAAAAGGTTGACAATTCATTATTTTCATGATTTTCACATAGATTGGAAAATGTAATTTACATTATATGAAAACAGAAAGCTGAAATATCTCAATATAGGTATGTTCTCATACTCTAAGATTCAGCATGTTAAGGGTTAAAGAAATCTGTGTGTCTACAAAATTTCATAGTGTTATGTCCATAAATGCATACTCTGTGTTGGTTTGAAAAAAAAATGGTCGATATTACTCACATGTCCCTTACTTCTTACATTTCAGGTATTCCTAGCTCAGAGCTTGAGGAGAAAATCAAGTTTTTGTTTCAATTAGTCACTCCTCAAATAAGTTAATTATGTTCAGGGAAAAAAAGAATACGGATAGAAAATTAAAATAAAAAACATAATGTCTGGACAGAAGCCTGTACGAAAATGAACCTGCAGTATTCATAATTAAAACAACACTCCTCTCCTGAGGTAAGTCTTACTGTCTTTTTTTATCACGAGAAAGGAGGCACTTAAGGCCATATTCTCCTCCCCATTCAATTGAAGGGGTGGGGTGGGGGTTAGTGCATCTGCATCAATATCCATATTTTCCTGCAACAGTAAGAACACTGACGTACAGAATTTGAGATATAGTACATGATGGAGCTGTATCAAAACTAACCAAAAAAAACTTCAATCTTGACACTGCAAAACAACCAATAAAAAGAAGGTATGCAGAAAAAACAAAAACTGATAATGCAAATGCCCTGTTCAGTGAAAGCATTCTTACTTCCAAGGAATTCAGATTGTATAACTTCTAAAACCAAAATGCACTTTCCTTAACCCCTTCTCTCTCTAACATAATTCCTCATAAAGGATTTGAACAAAGTATGGGCCACTCTAAAGACTAGTCATGAACAGACACACAGTACACTCATCCCATGGCTATAATCACTGTTGACTTAATCTTTATATTTCAAACACTCATCACCTTTACCCCTAAAGGCTATAATAGAAGCAGGGTACAGTATGGGGTCGTTGTCAAAGATAACAGTTCTATCACAAAAATATTCTCAATGATTTCTCTTCAAAGCACGTACAAGAAAGAGTACATATTGTACATGTACTACATTTGCATATGTGACATCTGTATATATTGGAATATTGAATTCGATGTAGAACTGCAAGAAAGCTTAATAACAATACAATTCCCACACAACATAAAAGGTTGTTTAAAAAAAATATATTACACCTTAACTCGCCCGAGACCGCCTGCGAATTCCCTTACGCGCTCCACCCTGACTCGCCCGGAACCGCCCGCGCCGACCTAGCGTCTTTACAAACGAAGACCCGCCTTGACGAGACTGGGGGGGGGGGGGGGGGGGGGGGGGGGGGCGAGATTTTGATGTGCATAGTTATTGCAAAAAGTTTCTTCTTTCGTTTGATACCAAAACGAAATTTTTCGGGCCAGTAGTTTTAGTATTAGAGCCGAACGAAGTGCGATCGCGTTACCAACACTTCGAAAGTGTCTCGACTTATTGAAAAGAGACACAATTGAGTTCGAAAAAGGAAATAACGATGGATTTCAGCAAAAACAAGCATATATGACAAATCAGATGACTCAGATTTTGATGAAAACGTTGGAGCAATAGTTTGGGGCGATTCAGATGGATCAGACGTAGAAAATCTAGAATTTAGATCTAGGGCCCGACCGCGAGGCTGAGAGTGAAAGTGACGGGTCGGACAACCCGATTGAACTAAAGTTAGAACATTTCCAACAGTTTGCGCATACATAAAGTTATACTTTTCTGAAACTACATTCATTTTTCGTTTTAACATTTATTTTTTCAGGATTTGTGGAATTTGTTTGGTATTTTTTAAATGCGTTTTTTAAAGGCTTGTATTCACGGGGGGGGTGGGTACTTTCCCCTTGCTTAGGATCTAACAATGGACTTCCCGTCCAGACCCTTAGGGTGTAAAGTGTTAAATATAGATTTTCTTGTTTAGTTTTCATAGATAAACTCATCCGAAGTTCAACTTAACAATTGGGACTTGCAAAGAAGAAGAGGTCCTGGGACCAAAGTAGAAGATCAACGTAACCAAAGATCAGCTCAAGTCAGTTCAACACAAGTGGAGTCGACTGTGGTAGGGAAACATTCAGGCTGCAATGACAGGGCAGTAATTACACTGCTTCAACAAGACAACCTGAAACAAAGCAGTGAAAGTCCAATACCTACATCATAAAATATAAATAAATTTGACCTTATACATTAGAAGCTGCCACAAAGCTGACTTATCCACCTGCACTGACACAAGCTATACATGCATACACCAACACATACCCAAAAGAACAATGCCTGCACGTTACCAACAATATAGACTAACAGATTTCAAAAGTTCAAAAATGGATATAATATGCAAAATTCCCTTTTCACTGTGACCATACATCTTACTTTAAACAATACCAAAAATTAAAACATTCAAAGCATTTTGATTTGATGCTACGAAAATAGTATGTAGTATGAATTCAAGATAAGAGTGAGAAAAGTTTCGCAGCAAATACATGTAACAAATTACTTACTCACATCAAAACTATTAGGTGTATTGAAAACATGTATATGGCATTGTTGGAAAGTTTAAATGGAAATTTAGCTCATAAACAAGCAATTATTTTTATACTTTATGATCTGCATTGGATTCCTGATGGACAGAGACTTCAGTTGACAAAAAAAAAATAAATTTGTCAATAGTCTTGAACAATGTCACTTCTGTGTACATACTACTGCAAGTACCTTACAAGAAAGCAAAACAGCACACATCAGCAGCTCAGTGTAAAGTGAGCATCCTACATCATTTTTCAACGCATCATATGACGGAGTCTTACACTAAGCAATCGACATGTGTGTTTTGTTCACATTTCAACATTATTTACTCAAAGTGCCACCAGACTGCCACTACATGTGGCTCTCACCAACAACACAACACAATGACACAAAGACAACATTTAACTCATGCACTAAGTTATTAATTTTTTAAAACCCATGAGCTCTAAATGGCAAATAGAATGTATCTTATTATTAAGTGGCGTCGGTGGCCTAGTAGTTAGGCTCTCGGACTCGCAACCGTAAGGTCGTGGGTTCAAATCCCGTCAGGGACCCGACGTTGTGTCCTTGGGAAAGGCACTTTACACGAATTTTCCTCACTTCACCCAGGTGGGAATGGGTACCCGGCTATAGACAGCGAAAGATCTTGTCAGTTTGTTAGTGTTTGAGCGCTTAATCAGCTGCTTGCACTGTATGCTTCCCGGGAAGCTGAGAATGTTTCGGAGTGTTCTATGGTCTGCTGGGGTAATAATATAGTGTAAAGCGCATAGAGCCTGCTGTTGAGCGGGGATATGCGCTATACAAATGCTATCTATTATTTATTATTATTAGATGCTTTGTAAGTTGATGATGGCACACCGACTATAATTGGGCACACAGTGAAAGAATTAAAACTCTACCATCTCTCACTACAAAACAAGATTTAAAAAAAAAAGAAAAATCCTGATGCTCCACTATTAAAATCAGACTACTGTACATGCACATTTAAGACAGAAAAGTGCCCCTGTAGAGTCAAAAGAGCAATACAAGTAGCAAAAAAAAATATTTTAAAATTTCAGAGTTTAAATATTTCTGTCATATTGAGGCACATAATTGCACCTTTTAAATAAACATACACACTTGAAATGATCACAACAGAGTTTCATTTCCCTGTACTTCCAACATGACAATGAACTTTCAAGTTGTTCTACAAAATGTACACAAAATACAGCACCAAATATTCATTTTGAAAAGGTTCTTTTCATAATAATTATTCAGGCATACAGTCACACCTGCAATGACAGACACCTATCTATGGTCGAACCTCTCAGCTGCCTCCAATATATAGAAACCTGTGAAAAGCATGAATCGAATTTTTAATTTCCTGCTTCCAGCCATTCAACGAACCAAAAACAAGGAGTTTTATGTTTCATGAACGCTCCTTGGTGGAACAAAAGTAGGTCTGATCCTATACTATAAACTGACCACACAAAGCTAGCCAGGGAAGAAATTATACAATCTTACTACTGACCAGTGAGGCCTGACAAGGGCAGTGTTTGTTAGCATACAAATGCTATATTTTTGTTCGTAGGAAAGCCAGAGAGTCTGCACTCTTTGCCCCTTATAAAAACTTCACAAAGAATGACATCCTCTGTAAATCTCCTAGTCAGCAGCAGCGGCCTCAGGACCACCACCACCGTCCACACCGTTGGCTCCTATATTCAAATGAACATCTGACACAGTACAATCTCCATCCCCAGAGGTTTTCTCAGCACCCCTGGAAGCCGCCTGCAACAAATGAGGGTGGAACTTCTCCAAGGCCCACTGAATAGCCCAGATGGCAAGGGGTCTCATGTAAGCCAGTGAGCGGTAGCCCTGGTTCAATGTGTAGGCTTCAGGTGTCTGGAAATGCAAGCCAAGCACTTCCCAACATACATGATGAGCTCCGTAAGCTGTCCTGAAGCCCTCTTCAATCATGCCCTAAAAGGACCAATAAAAAAGGGTACATAAAACAGGTGTTTAATTTACTAAAACAAAATGAGGTAAATTGTTCATTTTTAACTTAATTAAAGAAGTTGCTGGAAAAATAAAAAAGCAAAACATATGTGACCACTTACATCACCTTTCTCTCACCTTAATCATTGAAACAAAATGGCAAAACATAATTAAACTTCATAGAAAGGTGAACAGACAAAGGGAAGAGGATGCACAAAGACTTACCGCTAAAATTTAAAAAACCCCACAGAAATAGACGGCGCTGGTTTGTGCATTCATGACTAAAATTGAAAAGCTCTCTCTCGTTTGTTTTTTCTCCAAAATCAAAATCACACACCCAAAAGTTGACACACTCTCCTCTTGCACAAAAATGAATTGGACACACATATACGCAGACCTACTTATGCAAGCACAATCACATTCACATCAACATACACATAAACACGTAACACATGAATAGAAAAATAAATTTCTATGTTTAAAATAACTCCTAAATAATTCTATTCACTCTATTATATGGAGCTGAAGAAATATATAATAAAAACGAGTGTTAAGCAGTAATTATCGAATCATTTTTTGGTCCCTCCATCTGGCTATTGCGTGCACACTAAAGTAGGTACTGTGATGAAAAGCAGACAAACTTATTTTTTATTAGTACATATAATGTTGTTCTCAAACAAAAGATTTAAGCACTTGTACAGACTGACTTTATTGATTTCAGAATCAGTACAGATAGTGTCTATTGGTTGCACAAATATCGAGCATCCAAGACTGCATTTGCAATATGAATTTACTATGTTACCTCATTCTTTGTGAGCAAAAATCAGCCCCACTGAATCAGAAGTCAAACAGGAGGCTAACAGAACTCATTGGTATGATATCAAAGAAAATGAAGTTGATTTGTTATTAACTACTTTCAGAAACTCAAAATTGCAAAACAAGGTACAAGGAACAGAAAAATCGCTGTAAAAAGTTATTGGTACCACCAAAATTAATTAAAGATTTTGACATGTTTTTATAACTCGAGCCTTAAACTATACCTGAAAGTCAACATTTGAGTTGAATTGAAGCATACTTACATGAATATTCTTCAGTCTGGAAATTGAAAAAAAAAAGTATAAAAGAAAAATACACCTTTCAAGCAAAGCATTGACACAGAGGATATAGGTGGAAGAAAAAGGACAAACCTCTTGAATCATGGTTGCTGCTAGGGCATAGGTAATTCCAGTCCAAAACTCTTCCGACTGAGGGGAGCTGAGATCCATACTTCCATCAGGCCTAGTACCATTAATGGCTCCCATGTAACCACCTTGGAACCCTAAGACATTGTTCTTATATATCGCAGACAATGCTTTCTGAATATGGTCTGGCGGGAACAACTGGAATAACAGCAAAGATAATAAAAGTCAATATAAAGAAATATTTGAGACAAGCGAAAAAAATTATGGGATCTAAAAAAAGGGTCACTTTTCAGGAAAAGCAACCCACCCCCCACTCCCCAAAAAAACAACAAAACAAACAACAAAACAACACAAAAACAAACACAAAAAACAACCAAACCAAACTTTTCTCTCACAGCATCTCATTAGCGATACTTTTCCCCACACATAGCAAACTACGGGCATACTGCTTAACACAATGGTGTACTATCATGAACCTCTTCCTTTAAAGAAATATCTCAAGACAGTTTGGTCTCTTTCTATCAATACAGAAGGAGACCTAAGGAATAAACCTCTAACAGTATTTATGGAACAACAACACGCATAACGAACTGGTCAACAAACATGATACAAGCACATTTGAAAAACTATTTGAGATCGCTAAGCCCAGTTGTTGATATCCATCCCAGGACACACAAAGCATGCCCTTTTGTTCTAGAAAATGCTTTCTTCTATGAGACAGAAGGAGAAAGTGGGCAGGGGGGGGAGAGAGAGAGTGAGATAGAGAGAGAGAGAGAGAGAGAGAGAGAGAGAGAAAGAGAGAGAGAGAGAGAGAGAGAGAGAGAGGGGGAGGGAGGGAGGGAGGGAGGGAGGGAAGGAAAGAGAGAGAGAGGTGGGGAGGGAGAGGGGGGATAAGGAGAGAGAGAGAGAGAGAGAGAGAGAGAGAGAGAGAGAGAGAGAGAGAGAGAGAGGGGGGGGCAGGCTAGCAGCAAGCAAACAAGCTAGTAGGCAGACAGACAGACAGACAGACAGACAGACAGACAGAGAGGAAATGGGATGGGTGAGTGCAGATCTCTTTAGCAGTTGTCTATGAGTCCTCAACTCACATGAGAAAAACTTCTTAACACTTGCACAGATACAGAAGCGAGCCAGAATATTTTCAACAGAGAATGACAAATAAACTTACTTTATCATCTTGAAGATCAGAGGCCTTAAGAAACCACTGCCCTGCTAACTGGTCTGCCATAACGCTGTCATGATGGCCACTAGTGCTACTGTCGTAGTTATAGTATGACCCTGGAGTGAACAAATAAATACAATTAAGAAATACAGGACCCAGCATAGGTAAACTTCACTTTCCCCTGGAGCCCTCTGTGGTTTTTGTCATTGACAGAGAAGAACAAAGAAGGACTTTTTTTTTGTAAGCTCTCACAGGCATCGAAGAGACAGCAAGGTTAATATACTGTTCTAACCTTTTTAGCTTGAGGAAAAGAATTATGAAAATTGTCTACTTTCGAAATGTAAACCACTAAAAAGCTACAAACTCTCAGAGGTGAGAATAAAACAAGCAGTACCAATGTATCAATACATGATATTCAAAAAGTGCAAGTGCAGAGAAGTCCTGTTCTAATACAGAATTAATACATTATTTATTTACTCCACTATATTAAAGAGCATATTATATAAAGATGAGAAGAAATAAAATAAGCATTGTTGTCACGGTAATATGTCGAAGAAAATAAAACACCATTACGAATACTAATTACATGTAACTGAGTTTGTTCTCTTATCCAAGAGACCAATAAGTTACTCTTTAACAAAAGTTATCTTTTAAAACTCAAGCTATAACAAGTCAATGAGAACAACTGATTCACAAATAGTATCTAAAGAAATTCATATATAAGAGACATGCACAAGTCAATAAAAAGCAGAATCAAAATTGACTTACTTAAGACATCTCCATAGAGAAAAAAAAGACACCCACCATTCCATATTTTCTTTTCAAAAGAATCATGCCCCTGGTCCAACATGCCCTGGTACAACTCTTGGTCCTCTGAAATGCCAAGCTGTTTTGCCATCTCCACCATCATGCGCAATGCAGCGAGCCACATGCCCCCACAATACGCACTGGTGAAATTTCATTCATCAATAATCTTGGAAATTCAAGATCAACATCATGTGTCACAACGCGGTGGAATCAGGCGCTCGTCAATTTGGGGCACATATTGTTATTGGTATCACCTTAAAGCCTATCCATTTGCCTTGCTTTTGACGAAAAAATATAAATTTATCTTGAATACATGTCAAGATATTGGCGATTGAAGGTGGGGGTGTCCTGGCTTCAGAGGTAAAATTAGCAAGAAAATGGCTGCCAAAGTTGAGTTATTTCCTTAGCGGGAGGGTCCGTGGAAACTGAAAACTTACATCTTGTACGACTTTAATCAACGTTTTTCAGTAAACTACACACAGAAATATGTTCTTTAATTTGCATGAAAGTTGTTGAGCCAAAAAACAAAAATTCAATAAAAAGTTCCCAAACCAGCGGTAAAATGCCAGCTTCTTGACTTTCATTATTTTGACAAGCGCCTGATTACACCACGCTGCCTCACATAATTAATGTTGTATACACAAGATGCATTTTATACAGTAAATAAGTAACTTAAAGTCGAAAGGTAAATAAATGTTACTAATGGTTGAAAATTATTGATTTGGGCAAAAGCATTCATTCCAAAGAGCAAAAAAGCAGCAACGATATCTTTCCATAATCTGTATTGATATCTTAAAGTCTCATATTGTTCAGCATAACAGTCTCAGCAAACTCGAACATCTGTACACATATTTGTAATTACGTCTTTTCCTACTTACACAGCCAAAATATTCTTCCCGATAACATGCTAAATGCAAAAGACCTGAATGCATAAAAGACATTTTTTTTTTCCTTTTTAATCATGGAAAAGGGGGCTCTCGTGGCCTAGAGGTTAAGGTGTTGGTCTCTCATTCAAAGGTCCCGGGTTCGATTCCGGGTAGCGACCAAAAAATTTTCTAATCTAAAATTGTCTCCTTTCACCTCCTTTCCTGATCTCTAACAATGTTCTGTTGTCTGCTTTCATTTCCACTTTCTGCCCCCACTCCCTCACCTCCTTTGCCCCCTCCTCTGGGCTCCTGACTCTTTCTGCAGCCTTTCTACTGCTACTCCTTGGCTCCTCCTAACTGCTGTCTTTCTGCCACACCCCTGATCTCTGGTAGGAAAGATCTACACCTAGCCTTCTCGGACAAGGGCGAAAAATCTCGGAGGGCCCGTGTGCAAGTTGCGCACGTTAAAGATCCCTTGGTGGTCTAAAATCAATAAGAGTAGGCTTCGGCTGCCACCCGGGCAAAATTCAAAATTTCCTACCAACGAAAAAGTATTAGGTGTGTCCCGCGCGCTCATATGACCGTATGCAGTTGCGAGCGCCGTAAAACCCTATACTAAACAAACAAACAAACAATCATGGAAAACTTTGACAATGTAGGTATTTCACTAACTGGCACTTTCCCAAAACTGTGTTTTAATGTAGGTCTTTTTTTTTAACTTGCATACTTTTTTTTTTAACACTTATAAAAAGTTGGAGGTCACCTTCACAAAGAGGGTCACAAAATTATGGTGTGACTGTCTCGGAGGACGTTTCAATCATCACATCTGACCAATCGTTACAATCACTTACCTCGCGCCTTTCATAACCCAAGCGTCAAATGTCTGGTCAGCATAGCCCCCGTTATCAATGAGTCCATCCCCATCAGTGTCCCACACCTTTGATGATTCCACCAGAACCTAGCAAATAAGTTATTCTGCTTGAAGCCATGCAAATCATACATCTTACCCTGGGTACAAACAGCAAATCGTCGACCAGCTGTTCAGATGTACTTAGCCCAAAATTTTCAAGATTTTTAAACTGCATTTTCTTAATCTGTGGCATCGGTTGCAGTTGCAAGAGAAATGTTTTGGCGCAATTCAAATTCTAAATGTTGAAAAATGCACGAAAAGATACAGGTTAGGGTACAATTTTTAAAAGAATGAAACATTTTTTTTTCTTTCTCCTGAAAAATGTTGCTTTCTGGGCTTGATACAGTTGAACAGCTTACCAACAAAACAAGGAGAAGGAAAGTGGAAAAGTGGGTGCTTGTTCTTCTAAAAAAGTGGGCAATAGGACATAAGTAGTTGAAGGATTCATAACACCTTCAAACAATATTTTACTATAATACAAATCAATACTCTACGGGTAAATGGTAGCCTAAATAGTGTTTGAGATATTGATACCAACACCCCCCTCCCCTACCGCCACCCATACATGGTGCTAATCAGAACCAACCAAACAACTAGTATCAGTTGTCGGAGAGAATCTGACCTTTCCTCTATTTATCAAGCTGAGCATACTAAATCCAATCTAAGGAATCCTTTCAAAACTTATTTTTAGCAAGAATGTAGAATTTTCAAACTTTTAAAAGACAATTCCATACTTATTTCCCATGTATGATATTGTAATTTTTCACAGAGTATCTTCCTTCACATAACTGAGCATTCTTCTATTATACCTTTTTATTAGCAGCTAGACAGAGGTGTCTAAATTAACCTCAGCTCATGAACTGAAAAAATTAAGCCTCTGAAATGTAACCAACAATGTTTTACAACATGAAAAGTAGGCTGCAAACAGGGGTAGGAAGTCGCAGAAAAAAGATATCTTTTCCATCGAGCATTTTCCACCCTGGATGGGCTCTCTCTTCTCTCTTTCCTGCTGGACTCTCAGACCCAAAGGTCTAAATACCGCACAAAATAAAGAACGAACTCAACTAACCTTACACTTTGGGTACATGCAGTTCAAATAGTCTGTATCCTTAGTGGCACTGAAATCTCTGTACACTTGTAAGATAAATTTAAGATTCAAATCCTTCCAGTCATCTGTTGGGTGAATATTGTAAGCATTCACTCTCTTCCATGGCTCATCCTCTGAAAAAATAAACAAAAATTACTCTCATAAAATCTGAACTTGTTAGCAAGAGTCTTTCAGGTAGCTCAGTTTGACAATCCTCAAAACAGTATACTCTCTAAGCATTTCAGATTAATAGCTGAACACAAAGGTGAGGAAGAAATCTTTTCGACATACAAAAAATATGAATTATGTGGAAGATCTCGGGAAAATATTTTGGCAAAGCTAGACTTACCAGGGTCACCAATATCATGCGGGATACAGTTTGCCACTTTTCTTATCCCATTAACGCCATTCATCAAAAACTTCACTCCCTCTGAATCTTCTAACGTCACAGTATCACCTGAGGGATAAATCAAGTTTCAAAAATAAGAACAGATGCTTTTTAAGAAAGGAATAAGAAAAGATTAATTTTGGGCAGAAAAATAAACATTTCCACTGCTCCATGTCTCCAAGATTTTAACTAGATATAAAATGATCAACATAAAGGCAAAACACAAAATGTTGCTCTAAATGTTACAGGCTTTTGTATCATCATGTTCTTGTGTCAATCCTTGTTTCTAATATTTAGTCTAACAAAATAAAAAATGCAAAATATATGTGCATATTTTAGTTGAGCAGTATACTGAAATGATGACAGTCAGAAAATCACAAAGGAATTATGAGAAAAAATACAAAAATAACTTGGGAAATGTTAGAAAACCCATAAAATGTAATAAAACAATTCTAAAAAACACATTGAGACATTCCGGAAGAAGCAGTTTATTACCTCATGGGATTTTTAAAAAGTAGTCTGAGTAAAGAGAAGCAAATTGACATAATGTCAACCATTTAGTTTAGGAAAAAGGAGGTCATTAAGACAGACATGAGAGAAAGGAGAGAAGTAGGACAGGCACACTAATGACGCTCTCCAACTATCCAGTCTTTCAAGAAACAAAACTAAGAAAAAAACAATACCTCAGAAGGTAAGATTAGAAAAGATTTCAATCATTGTTCCAAGAGTACAAATAGGTCAACTATGCAAAAAAGCTTGTTGAAATTTGAATCAGGTGGGACTAACCACAGAAATCAACAATTCATAATCCTGGAAACATCAGGTTGGTGACCTTTCTATTTCAAGGGCATGCACTCAAATGAAATCCTATCTACTACAAAAATAAAATGACTTTGTACTTATAATGTGAAACAGATATCACTCATCTAAAAAAATTATGAAGTGAATTACCATAGTCGTACTGAAGAGAGATCTGCAGTTTTGGCCATAACATGAGAAGGGCAAAGGATGAATAGTGGTGAACATCATAGGTGTTGAACATTCGGTATTCTTGACCTGCAAAAGAGGAGGACAGAATTAGGCCACAAAACAATGCCTTAATGGGTATTGGATAGGTAAATAAAAATCCCTTCCGAAGGGTGAATCAAACCTTTCAATAACCCAAAAGTTGAGTAAGAGGACAGGTAGCAACATAGAAGTATAATTTACTTACATGTTGACTCTGTAATCTATGCTTGTGAGCATGCATATGAGTCTGCCCATATTTTCTGTGCAGACATGTGTCATGATATATTCAAAACATAATAACAAATATGGTGATGAAAGATGAACAAGCAATTTTTTGCAATAAAATAAGTATAGTACGTTTTGTGACTTAAACCTCTCGACCACAGCTAACCTGACACCAGTTTGTTTAAGGTTTAACTTCCAACACACCAAGGAATAATGTTAGATTTCAGCATTGCCCAGACTCAATCATATACACTCAAAACTGTGTAAGACAGAAAAACCATTGTTGAGGAGAACAGTGGCTATCTTAGGAAGGCAGCCATCTTACACAGTTTCATTATTATGTAAAAAAATACGTTAATGCAAGGGAGGGAATCAGAAGTGATCATTTGTACTGGTAATAGTTTCATACAGGTGACCGATAGATCAGATTCAACTGTACTTGTTTTGGTCATGAGTCCAGGGACAAAATCTCTAGATAAGACAATATGAAAATACAAAATCATATTGGTAACCAACAGCTGTGACACAAAACAAACAGCTTTTAAGTATACACACTTGAAAGGCACAAGGGAAAAACCAGCGATGTCAGTTTTTTTTCCATTTTTTGGGTTATTGTTCCAAAATGATGATTGGCTGGGTCTGCTTTAGTCTATCTACGTCACATACAGAAAAGCTCTGTCCAGTCTCTGTGAGAGTTAGAAAATATAGCCCACAATGGAAGAATTAGCGATGTCAAGATGTCAAGAACGAATAAACCAGCGATGTCAAGCATACTTTTCTTTGTTGCGCCCCTTGTGACCAATCAGTGCCTATATTTCAGTGAAAATTGTTGATTTGGTGTATGCTTAATGCCCCTATCAAGACTACTAGGTTATTAAAGAGGTGACATCTCTGAGTTTAACATCAATCCCCGAAACGACAGAGCCAAATAGGAATTTCATGTTAAGTTCCTTTTCCAAGGACGCAACGTTGTACCGAGCTGTGGCTCAAACCCCCCACTGGTATTATATGCCGAAACATTATTCAATGAGCACCCATGTTGCACTAACCTTTGATTATTCGAAGAACTTGGGCTACCCAAACATCTCAGCAAACTATTTGCCCAATTGTTGGCTGATATCTCTCTTCTCCTTTAAAATCTACTGTCTAAGTGAGACAGTCAGCAAAAAGGGAGGAGACGATGCGGCCAGCATGCTGCTACAACACTTTCTACACATTCTGCCAGTTGACGTGACTCATGCGCAGGCCAAAACAAGAACAGAACTGTGATCTGGTTTCTTTATCATGTTGGAGTCCATCAGGGAAGGTACGAAAAAGTGAAAATCTCGTTTCCAGTGAAAGGCCACAGCTACATGGAATGCGACAGAGACATGGCAGATGTGAAAGAGAAGGTCAGTGTAGATATTCCAGCCAGTTAGGTGGAACAATTCAAGACAGAGCCCTTTGGAAACCCTCGCTGCTCCAGATAGTGGGGATGACACGAGCCATATTCCAGAATGTGTCAGAAAATCTTAAACCGTACTACCATGTCTCCTGCCTTATACCCACTCGACCTCAGCTTGAAACCTGAATCTCACAGGCCCATCTGCAGCTAATGCAGTATAGAGAGAGCTGGAATATGGTCCGTTTCACTCAGCAATCATTATGAAGCCAGTGGAAAAGAAACGTGCTGCAAGACTCCTGCCCCTGAAACTCTATAAGAGCCCACTAACCACCAAAGCTACCAATTAATGTGCAGACATGAAGGTCTAAAAGGAGTTCTGGCCCGATAGCTTTTCTCCAAATTGCCCCATGCTGGAGGAATAAGTGCCGCTCAAGAGTCTGATGACTCAGAGTTGTCATCGAAAAATGAATATCATATAATATAAAAATAAACAGAGTAAATATAGCAAAATGGTGTGCAATTTTCTTGTTCAAATCATTTAGCTTTGTTTGTATGCACAAATGAGTATAGAAACTCACGATTCATTGACTTTCTTGAAGATGGAGACCTTGCCAACAGCTTACAAGGGAAAAACCAGCGAGCGCTGTCAGTTTGCTACATAGTTTTTCTATTTTGCTCTCACCGCAACACCCATAACACGTGGACTGTGAAAATTTCTGGTTTACAAAACAAATGGTCATACTTGAAGTCAATGTTAACAGTGGAGAGATCATTGGTGCAGAAAAAGAGTTATCTCAGAATTGCCAAAACCTGACATCGCTGGTTTTTCCATTGTGTCCTTCACTTCTTTATCTCATTTCTTTTATAAATAACAACATTAATTTTTCAGATGTTCTACCTTCCAAATATGCAAATCGACCATACTCTTGCACAGTAGAATGATGTGATTCAGTTTTACATCCTTTCACTGGCTCAATCCACACAGTTCCACCATCACTGACAAAATACAGTTCGTTGAAGATTGCAGACTTGTACCAAGCAGGAATGGAACTGAAAAGAAAAAAATCCCTCAAAACTTGAATTCTTCATAAGGCACTTTCAGTTTTAAAAAAGAAGTCCATCATGCAGCGATGTTCTAATTTGTTGACTGTTACATGAGCAAGAAGACATCTGTTCACTAGTTCAAAACAAACCCTGTCTTTAGCATTCACACCTTTTACCATCTCGTTATTTTTGTAAGGGGCGCTTTAGGAAATAATATCCCCATCATCATTTAGTCAAAAGCAAAGCTTGCTATAACATGTGAATGTGGAATTTGTGGATGCTGGTGCTCATGGCCTCACACCTGGGTAAGGAGTGGATAAATTCATCAGTAACAGAACTATGTCAAATCAAAAATTATTTGTAGAAATCTTAAGCTGCTGAGTAACTACCAGGAGTCATCAAAAGAACTACTTACTCCTGCACTTACACTTTAATTATACCAGCACGGCTGAGTAAAGAAAGCATAGAAAAAGAAATAGTTTGAGATCACAAAAGGCATTCATTAGACACTAAAGTAATAGTTGAAAGCATAAATAGCTTCTTAAAAGTTTTTCTAACAAAGAAACAAATGATATCCTTGACAAAGAAATAGATTTTAGTTATATTATATTTAATTCATTTTGATTGTACAACTGCCATCATATTTGTTGTTTACAATAAAAACAACAAGCAGCATTTTACTTCATAAGCATTTCTGTTCTGTAGGGCAGGTTCTGAAGAAGGGACTAATCCTACAATCTTATAACATCTGGAAAAAGAGAAGACTTCAGATCTTGAGGCCCTCGATACATAACTTAAATTTTAACTAATATGTTATTTAATTCACATTAAATTTTTATTATGTTCAAAACATGGGAAATACAAAAATCAACAAGCACACAAAAGCTGAAAAAAAAAGTGCAGATCATAAATCCACTTTAATTAATAAATGTAGTAAATGAAAGCAAAATCTTGGGATTTATATCTGCTATACAAAGATGGTAATTAAAAAGGTTACTGAACTCAGAGTTCAAAATCCACACCCAGTCCAGAATATAATTTTGCTATCACAATATATATTTGCAGCGAAACAAAAACTACATGCACATCTTAAGAACGAATGCCCATTTTGGTATTCAAAGGAATGTCAAATGAAACAAAAAGTACACTAAATATATCAAGGTGTGTGAGTTTCACAGTTTTGAAATAATGGCCATGAATAATAAATGTAAAAAATTCACAGCTTCACTAACTTACTGAAACTTACGAGCTCTGCAATATGGGTGTCTGCCACTCTTCAATTTTCTGTTCCCACGACGGGTAGCTACGTAGAGTGTAGGCACATAATATAGATGCTCCTGTACCATCTGTGTCAAACATTCTTGCATAGCGCCTGACAAAACAGAAGCAAGGGTCAAAAAAAGGCAAAAAAATATGCACAGCAAATTACAACCCATTTTCAAAAGGTTATTTAGATGACTTCTGTGGAATAAAAAACTCACAACTTTTTTCCAAGCAACAATGTCTAAAGTAAACTTGAACTAGATAACACTTACTTTACTTACTTTTACTTTTCCGATCCAGAGATAACACACTCACCAAACCTTTTTCTTCAATCAAAAAGCAAATACAAAATGGATTGACATGGTCACTATTACAGTCTGACAGAAATATTTATAAAGAAGCAACCTTACCTGGTGTACATATTTTCTCTTGAAGCAAACTGCACCTTTGGCATGTCCCAACTTAGGGAAAATTCACAATGCCCCTTGGCTCCTCTTGAAACATTTGTCATTGCACAAACAGCGCTTGCTAATTCTTGTCCTTTGCTGGTTGGAGGAGACGGATCTGAAAGAAAATGTTCGTCAGATTTGTTGTTATACAGTTAGAAAACAGCAACACTAAAGAGAAGAACTTGTCAACATTCAGTTGCAGGATAATCTTAAACATAAAACATAGAAATATGTCATACCCTTCAGTTAAAAGCATTTCTTTTCAGTAGAGAAGCGACTACTTGCTAGCATTTTGTTTCAGTTGTACACAGAGCAGATCTCAGACCATGAGGTGCACAAGATATTCATGACAGAAGTGTGGTAACTAACATTGGCAATCAAAATTGCATGCCTATTATCTTCAAAATATGGGAAACAAAAAAACCCCATAAAACATGACAAAGTTTTAAAAAGTGCAGATCATTTACAAACAAAAAACCCCCCTTTACCCTATCCAAAGATTTTAAAAGACCCTCCTGAATAAAGAAAAAATCCAATATTGATGTTATTCATTATGCAAAAGTTACCTTCCCCCCTAATAATTGTAACTCTAGTCAATAACTTTTCATAGTGAGAAAACATAACTTTCCTTTTCAACATGGCAGCCACATTAAAATGACTTACCAAATTCATAAAAATTGTCGGTGTCAACTTGGGTGTACTTCCCTTTATTCTGAAAACAACTACTGCTAAAACATTATAAACAATCCACCCTTTTGATAACTTCGCTGACAGACTGACAGTCTAAAGGCAGTTACATTTTCAATACAATGAATGAACAAAATAAACCAAGTTATACCTAGAAAAAACAATAAATATGCTGTACCTGAACTCAACTCAGTGTCCAAGTGGCCTTTATTCTGTAGAGAGTTCCATACTTCACTGCCACTACCTCTGGGATTGAATTCTGTTTTCACAGTCACATCCACTGCATCCTGTAGTGAATGAATAAACAACATGAGATTTCCATTGTTTACGGATGTTAAGGGAAAACTAAATCACGATGGTCTTGTACAAAAAGTACTGAAACAGCTCAACTAATCAACTATTTATAAACAGTAAACATCCGTGGGATGAGTCGAGAATTATCATTTCACAGTCAAAAGAGCCACATAAGTTAGTTCCCAGGCAGCTTAGCACAATTGAGATGCAAATTATATCTTCTTTGGACTAAAAGACATTTAACGTATAACACTGTAATGAAAGTCACAGCAATATATCAATCCAATTAAGTGGCCCATTTTAATTTAATAACAATATACCAGAAAGAAAACGGCAAAAGCAGATGGAACAACGCATAACTCATTCAAACATAAATAGATAAACTGAAGAAGTAATTCAGCTTGCACATCTAAAACTGAGCTTTAAACATCTTCCCACACCATTATAAGAGGTTTTTTTTCTGGCTTTATGTTAATAAAATGCTACACCAAAATAGGGTTGTTTTTACTAGCTTTATTTTTTAAAAATACAACTGCTTGCATCTAGTAGACTGACAAGACAAAAATCCAAGGGTTACAAAAGTAAACAATCTTATAATCTATTTCCAAACCACCAACAATTATAATAAGACACAAGGAAAAATTTCACAGACCACAAAAAAATCCTATCAAAACTTACGGTGGCCTTTGCAGAGATTCCATAAGAACATTTCATGCCCTTGAATTCTTGATGTATCATGACACCTTTGGCTTCATGGTCTCCATCACAAGCAGTAGAGAAGGCCTGAGACCACACACCACCAGCTTTGTCCTGCTTTGTGCCTTCTCCGTTTTTGAAAGTGAATGTCAAACTGACCTCAATGTCCTCTGTACTCTCATTGGATATTTCCCATACAAAAGCAGCAGCAGGTAAGCTTGTCTCCTGTAACAGTTCAGGTCAGCTCCAAGTAACCATTTCAAACTTGGCAACAAGCAAAGCTAATTATTAAAGTAAAAGAAAGCACATCTTTAAAGAGTCATATGATATTCTCATACTAATCTTATTTTAATAAAAATAATAATAGAGAAAATGATTTCTGATTAAATCTTTAGTATGACTACCAAAAAAACAAAAAAGAAAAATTAAGAAAAACAGTCCATGGCAAACTCTCAGTCAAAGTATCAAAGTGGAAAGACTTTAGAAGTCCCACATTCTCTCGATAAAACAAAACACTATTTTAAATGGTGTATTCTACATCAATGATGGTCTCAAAATTAAATACTTATTTGACTTACAGGAGCATAATAAACAAGTTATCACCACTCATTTTAAAAAAGAAAGATTTAAAACAAAGTGGAGAAACCAACAAAAACAAAATAAATTTTAACTTACCAAGTAATCGTGCGGGAGGACCGGCGAAATTTGTTTACAGACAAGCGTGACTTTGTGTTCTGGTATGTGATAAATGCTCCAGGCACGAGGGTATAGTGCATGGTACAATCCATTCTCAGGGGGAAATGAGAAATCCCAGCTTCTAAGGGCCTTTTTTTTCTTTCTTGGAGCACACGACAGAACTTTTTGATAAACTGTTTGTCCTTGTTTTCTTATGTTGACAATGAACTGAGGATCATGAAAAGATTAACTATAAAACACCAAAACTTGTGAACCTCAAGGTAATAGAAGCAAAAAATCTGAAGCAACAGAAATAAGCATTTGAATCAAAATGTTACTGTGTTCAGTCGAATTATGTTGTTTAAACAGATATCCTATACTATACAATAATTTTAACAGCGCATGGTTCCCGATCAAGTGATGATAACTGAAAAGGGCTGAAAGGTAGGATATTTTGCAGGACCATACAATATACACAATTGTATTATTTAATACTAATATATCTATGAGGTAATCCCGAAAAAATTCCATGCTAGCCCCCACCCCCTCTTCTCTTTAGTTTAATACCCAAGGCGCAGTTCACATTAATCGCTAAAAACAGCCGAATACATCAATTTTCTTTTTTATCTCCACTTTCTCACTTCAGATTCTTCACTAAAGCAAGAAAACAAGTTTCAAAAATTTTAAACTACCCAACTCCTATACTCTTCCACTACATCACAAGCCAGGGTTTTTTGGTGAAAATAAAAATGTGAACCATTGGGACAATATGTTCGTGTCGCAATAAATCCAAGTACATTAAAACAGTAAGTGTAAGCTTCAACAAGGGGACAGGTTCTACTTTTGCTTCTGTTACTTCTGGTATGGAACAATAACTGCATGCAAATATATACAGCCAGTACATGACGTGTTTCAAACTTACCTGATCAGCTTCTACAACATGATAATTATAGAGACCTGGAACCATTTGGAATCTGCAGAACTCTCCTCTGTATCCTCTACCAATGGTTCCACTTCCTATACCTCCTAAAGGACATCCTGGAAAGCCATACAAAATAACTTGATAAGCATGTATCTACATACAATATACAATCATTCACATATATGTGCATGAGTTCTAAGACATATCATATTCACATATCATCTCCTCATTCACCATTGCCATATCATATGTCAAAATATGACGTTTTCAAGAGAAAAAACAGCTGTTGTAATTTGGGCAGTACACTATCTAAATACAAAATGTTAAATTCATCTTAATCCAAAACTATTTGAAGAAGAGGAATCAGACAAGGGCCAATTGATGTGCCTCATCAAACTCTAGAACATACTTGATTTGAATTTTTTAAATACTTTGACACACTATAATGTTAAATGACGGTGATAATATATTCAGTAACTCAAAAAAAAAAAAAGGAACTGAACTGAAAGTAGTTGGTAAGGGAGATCAAGGGGGTAAATGTATATGCCACCATTGAACAGAGACATGTAAATCTAGACTAATTATTTCATTTGCTTGAATGCCTTGTGTTTCCAGAAGTATTTTCACAAATTTAAGTTGTTGTTCTTACGAGAAATCTTGCCAGAGGATGAAAGAACAATTCGCAAGAAAATCTGCATGGACTGCAAACTTAAGGGAAAGAAACAAGGTTTTTTGTTGTTGTCTTTTTACTTCTATCTGCACAGAAACAACTGGTGATCAGAACTAGGTCAATGAGTAGAAAAAAAGGAATGGAAAGTAAATATGAGCTCAAAAAGATAGCCAAGGACAAAATCATATTAAATTACGGAGAGGCTACTCGCCCGATGCCGGGTGGCTAGCTCCAGGCTACTCGCCCGATCTAGGAGCTACTCGCCCGATCTAGGAGCTACTCGCCCGATCTAGGATTTCTGCGCATGTTCCGGGCAATTTCGGTCGATTAGCCCCGCCTGGCCTGCGGCTTCTGGCCCTGGTGGATTTCTGCGCATGCTCCTTTAAAATTCGCATGATCAATCGCGCAAGATTCAGTCACTCACTCGGTCACTCCTTGTCCTTCAAGTCAACAGTTGGATCGGTCAGCATGGCAGCTGAATTATATGTGGGAAAGACTTTCCAAAGTTTTAGAGACCTGAGTGAAACAATTTCAAAATATTGCCACTTTTCACATGAACCATTTGTACTCGCATATTGCAGAAAAATCGGTGCAGAAAACTCCAAACTATGTGAAGAAATGAGATCAAATTCGGTTGACTATCCTGACACTAGTCACCCTACATCGGGCGAGTACCCTGATGCTAGTCACCCAACATCAGGCGAGTAGCACCAGCCATTAAATTAACACACTTCATTTATTTTTCACACATATAATTACTATGTCACGAAAAATTTCCCATATCATAATGGTAACTAATAGCTATTCTTTTTTAGAGCCTCAAACTTAAAACACATGTAGTTCAACTGCCAGAACATTGAAATTTGTCAACACTCCCTTGCGCTTGTTATTAAACATCAAAGAAAGAAAAATAACTGTATTCAAATTTTCTTTATTATACTCACCCTTCCTATCTTATCACTAGTAGGTCTCTAATCAAATATTGGGGTGACATGGAATGACACCTACTAAGGAAAACAATAAAACAGCAGTGTTTGTTGGCATATAACTTAACGAAAGTCACAGACATTTATGAGTTTCAAAACTAAAAGATGACAACATTACAAACCGTAAATGGGTTTATGCTTCATTTGATTTAGATGGTCAATGAATGGCCTCCTTCCCTGGCGTTTTTTCTGTATCCAAAATTTTGCATATCTGGTGACAGAAAAAAAATCCTCAACAACAACACAACTGAGAATTTAAAAAAAACCATGAATGTCAAAAATTATTTCTGTCAAGCTACAACAACTTTAATACAAAGTTAAATTGATATGTAATCTTTTATTGCAAGTCAGGACGTGAATGACCATATTTACAGGGAACTGATCAGGATATGTAACACTTAAATAAGTGGGCCACACAGGAATGCTGATAAACCACTCACTCTGTACAAAGTAAGAACCTGAAATATAAATTTGAATAGGCTACAAAAGAACCTGTATTGGACAAAATGTAATCAGTGTTTTCCCAGTCAGTATGAAGTAGAAAAAACTTCGAACGATGGAAAGTAAATAGATAAACTGACAAGCTCAGTAAAATACAGAGCAAAATGAAACTATTTTTCTAAAATTAACATGTGAAAAAAATATATGGATCATCAGTTGCAGTAGAAATAGTGCTGAAAAAACATGTAGGAGAACAAAATTTAAGTTAGAATATTTAGTTCACTTGCAGAATTCAAATAACAAGTGAGCCCATCATCAAATAAAGAGAATTGGAGATGATGTGATATATTTTGCAACAAGCAGGGTAAAACTTTTTTTCGAGAAATAAATAATAAAAGACTGACAATCTACACCACAAGTCCACAGTCTTTCAAAATATTTCAAATTCTATTTCGTACGGTACAAAATTTCTGTTTCTCACCTGAGTCCAAGACCTACATATTGTGGAATCTGCCCCAGCCTGGGTTTGGAGAATGGAACACATTTCACACTGCATTCATAAGTGAATGGCACTCGCCATCCAAAGTCTGGCAGACCAGCAATATGTTTCCGTGGTGTTGTGGGGCTTTCATCTGGCCCAACACATTGCATGCTGCCTGGGGAACAACTGAGAAGAATGGCCTTATGAAACAATTATATCCAGAATTCCACATCATATAATAACATGGTGGGATGCAGAAAATATTTTAAAAGAGCTCTTAAACCATTCACAAAATTGACTTTTAAAATAAAAGGATGACGGATTTTTTAAACTTAAGAAGTTCAGAATGAGAAAACATTCACCACCGCAGCAGACATCCATGAGCATAGCAACCTGTAGTGAAAGCCAGTACTTCTCATGCTAATCTGTGGCAAAATGAAGTAAATGAACTGCCTCATATAAAAAGTAGAAATCAGGCAATCTGATGCTGAATATCAACCAGCAAACAAAGAAAAACAGAGAATCACTTAAAGGTTCCGTGGAGCTCAAAACCAAATAAATCTGGAGGGGACAAATAAAATTGCAAAAGTGACAGTCCTACAAGTATGTTTCCCGGTGGCCTACCCCTGCCTCGTGCTCCTTGTGGGTCCAACTGCAGTGACTGTCTTGTGATGTTTCCGGTGGACTTTCTTGAGGTGTGTCCCATCCATCGCCACTTTCTTAGTCCTATTTCTACTTCTATATCCTTTTGTCCTGTCCTTTCCCACAGCTCTTTATTTCTTATTCTATCCTGCCACTAAATTCTTACAATACTCCTCATACATCTGTTGATGAAAGTCTAAACTTTATTCAGTATTGTTTTTGTTGTCTTCCAAGTTTCGCAGCCGCAGAGGAGCACAGACATGACGGTGGAGTTAAAGAGTCGAATCTTGGTGCGCAGTGAGATGTTGCTTGCTTTCCAGACTTTTGATCATTGATTGAAAGCTGACCTTGCCTTGGTGGTTCTTGCTTTAACATCTGTCCTGGTTCCACCTTTACCATCGATGACACATTCCAAAGTAGGTAAAGGAGTCCACTTCTTCCAGGGGAGTGTCTTCCACAGTCACAGCAAGGCTTGAAACTTTTCCTAGCTTCACTACTTTTGACTTGCCTGGATGTACATAGGCCAACACTCTTTGATAGTCTGTTCAGTTCCTTGGTCTTTTCTTGCATCTGAGCATGTGTGTGTGAGAGAGCAGTGCAAGGTTATCCGCCAAGTCCAAGTCGTCCAGCTGCTGCCAAGGGATCCACTGTTTTCCATTACGCTTTCCTCTGGTGGCTTCTTTCATGACCCAATCAATTGCCAGTATGACGAAAAAAGATGAGAGCAAGCATCCTTGTCGTACTCCAGTCTGTACCTGGAATGGTTCTGAGAGTTGTCCTTCGAGGAAGACTTGGCAAAAACCCCATTTACCAGCTTATAAATTCCAAAATGTATTTGCTACATAATTAGTCCCTCCAGAATTCAGTTAGATACCAGTTGTAATCGCAACTTCCCATTATTCAATTAAGTAACAGGTCACATCAGACTTATGAAAGAAGGGAACAATTGATGTGAAAGCAAAATCAGAAATTCTGTTAACTGTAGAAAAAACCCAAGAGGAACCTACAATGCTAAGGGTCACCTCAAGGAATAGTACTGAAACTGCTGCAAAGTTTATTGGCTGAGCAAGTCATGTTAAGTTATAAAATTAAATATGCTGTGGGTGAATACAGGTTCAAGCAGACATTTATCGCCAATAACGTTTATTAACCTAAAAACAGACAGTGGTATCCAAAACAAAATCTCCACAAGATTGTCAGTCTCCACTAAGATTTTCTGGCTCCAGCTGCAAGCTAACAGAAGGGCAACACGAAAACCAAGGACCTGTTAGGTGCTTCAACCAACTTAAGGGGCTCCAGTGGTCTAGAGGTTATGGTGTTTGCCTCTCACTCAATACATCCCGGATTCGAAACCTGACAGCGACGGAATATTTTCTTCTCTAAAAATGTCTTTCTTTCACCTCCATTTCTGCTCTCAAATCACATTCTGTCGTCTGCTTTCGTCTTCACTTTCTGCCCTCACCCTCATTTCCCCCCTCATCTAGGCTCCTGACTCTTTTTGCAGCCTTTCTACTGCTGCTACTCCTTGGCTCCTTCTTACTGAGCTGCTGTCTTTCTGCCACATCCCTGATCTTAGGGTTGGTAAGATCTAACACCTAGCCTTCTCAGATAAAGACGAAAAACCTTGGAGGTCCCATGCAAGTTGCACAACATTAAAAATCTATTGGTGGTCCAAGATTATAAAGAGAGTAGGCTTCAGCCATCATCCGGACAAAATTCAAAATTAATTCCCACCAGACTGAAAATATTTATTGTGTTCCTTGCCCTCATGACTTTATAATGCAGTTGCGAGCACTGTAAAACGCTAAACTTACCAAACAAAGCAGCCAATAAAATTGTCATTCAAAATTACATCCCTGCTGATTGCCAGTAGATCTGCTTTCATCAGTGTGCCATTAGCACAGCTCTTAATGGGCATGAAACTTATGACATAATATTCATCATGATATAATCAGAATCCAAAGGATCAACATATTTAATCCCCCCAAACAGATACAACGATATGGCAGTGTCATGTATGTGTGCTTCTAGGCCTCATGTTTTAAAATGAAAATTATCAAACTTTGTAGTTATAATAGAAGTAAAGTTTAACTCTCCCTGAGTGGACGATGAGAGACTTTATAATAATTATTACTCTGCTCCCTGTTCTGGGAAAAAAATTCAGTAAAAACGAGGAAAATAATTCCAAAGGTAAAGACTTAAATTAGCACACTGTTGACTGTTGTTCAGACTGGAGACTGGAGACAATGTGAAGTTGTTGATGCAGATGGCCTGTGTGTGTGTGTGTGTGCATGTGTGTGTATCTGTGTGTGTGTAAGGTGAGAACGGTTGGGGGGGGGGGGGGGGTGGAGGAATTTTTTTTTTACATGAAGGATTTTAGTTTTTGCTGGGTGACTAAATGCAAAATAGGTTACTGCCAAGGTCGAGCTGTCCTGTTTTCTCGCAGTACCTTTTGAAGGCATTTTCAAATGAAGTATAGTCCGAGAACGTTGCCCCAACCACAACTGAAGTATCTGAATATTCAGACATTTTAAAATCTCTAGCTCTAGAAATTGAATTTGATGCAAAAAATGCTTCTTCCCAGTCCTCACAGAGTGGCAGAATGAAAGGATGACGCCTTAATCTCGCAATTAGCCCAAAAATTCTCGAGATTGGAAACCATTAGGAGAAATAGAGTTCAACTTTATTTTCCCGAACGTTCGGAGAAATAGTCACTTCGTATAAGATAGAGTGCTTTTTTCTGTTTGTGATCCTTTTTTCAAGATTATTTTTTTTTAAATAAAAAATTTCAACATCGGATATTCTGATTATGATCCAAATGTACAAATATTATGGAATGTATGTTGGTAAACAACTGCGAATTTTTCAATATTTTCCAGTTCTATAGTTCTATATTCATTTATGGTTATTTTGATGTATCATTTGACTAGATGCAAACATATTTTTTGAGTTTCGGCAAAGATTAATAATTTTTTATTTTCAAATGTTATCCGCATCCAATCAAAATTATGTTGCATAATCGTCTCTTACAAGAACCAAAGTTGAAAAATACACAAATAAACATTACAGATGTATTCGACAAAACCATACTGAACATTTTGGTATAATATGTTGATATTTATTAGAATTTGTGGCCCCAAAGACCTTTGAACTGCGCTTTAGTCATCATATCATTTCGCCCTCCCGAAAAAAATTCTTCCACAAGCCAAAAATAATATGTAGCGAATGAGTTAATCGCATGTGATCTAGATATCTAGATCTATACTACAATCCTAAGCTTACACTTTCACCCCAACTCCAACCACCACTACCCCGAGTCTGACCTTCACCCATGAAGTTATGATAAGGGTCTTACGGGTCTATCATCTGGACTATTGACTATCGATTAGAAGTAGATTAGAAAGCTCAGTTACCTAAAAGTACTCTTGGCTTGGCGGCCAAACAAAACCGGAGATTGCTATGAATTTTGGATTCCTCACTTGAAATTAAGATTTGGCTCAGCTCTTTCTTTACATGTATCTACGTAGACTTCTGTATCTGGACACAGTGTATATTTGCCGGACAGACGATCAGAAATAAACTGAACTTTGGAAGTTCGGAGCTGAGTGATATGACCTAGAAACTAGAAATCAGACTAGAACTATCTCCAGAGATCAATAGAGAACAGGGGGGGGGGGAGGCAGGAGGTTGGGAATCGACTGACACTACTGAAGCTGAAGTCGTAAAATAAAAACATTTACAAAGTTGCTGAATTTTTAGATTCCACAGATATGATCATTATACAATTAGATCGGAATGTATGTAAACAACTGCTAATTTTTCCATATTTTCCAGTTCTATATTCATTTAGGAAGTGATTATTCACACCGGGTGTGCGAATAAGAAATAATTTTATTCACACCGGGTGTGCGCATAAGAATTAATATTATTCACACCGGGTGTGCGAATATAAGAAATAATTCTCTTCGCACAGGGTTGAGCTTACTTTGATTTTGGACCTCGTTTGTCACACCCTTTAAATGTTAAAACAACTGTACACTATATCAGATGGCACACTTGTTTCAGTTTTAGCTCTCTCTCTCTCTCTCTCTCTCCCCCCCTCTCTCTCTCTCTCTCAAGGCGCAAGGTAAACAAAAAACGAAAAAAAAGAGATACTTGAATCATAATCATTGACACAATTTAATACACAACTTGAATTCCAATTTGAGTGGGGGTTTTTTCGTATCGCATTGCACAATTAGAATTAGATCTAGAATCTAGATCTAGAGATCTATCCCTACCAAAGATAGCATAACAAGATTGTTCACTCAACCTGAAAAGTGTTCGCAGAAGTCTGCGCATTGCTATAGATGGCGCTGGAGTCTTTGTTTTGAAGCTCTCTTTCGTTTCTCCAGAAGAAGAATAGGATGATAAGCACAGTCTGTTAATTTCACTTTTATAGTTTTTCACACAAGTCGGGTAGACTGAACTCTGTTCGCAAAGTCCGAACTTTTATGAACAGGGCGCCACCCAATTCTGAGGACAATTTTTTAATAATTGCTCAA